AGCCAGGTACAGCAGTAAAGTCTGAGACTCTTGTCTCTAATTAACTACCAAAAAGTGGGAAGTAGAACTGTGGCCCACATGTTAGTGCGCTAGCCTTGAGCAAGAAAACATAGTGCCCAGACTGAATTCAAACCACAGGACTGGCATGCACACACACATGTGATCTCACACACACAAGCGCTTAAAAGGAATAAAAACTCTCCACTAAAAGTTGTTCAAAAGCCAATAATATTGTTGTCTAATATTTGATGTGAACTATGTACCTCTATATCAATACAAGATTATTTTATTCCTTAAATCCCTTTCCTGGTTCTTAATATTTTAACCTTTGATCGTTGTTTTCTTCACACTTCAAGAGAATTTTGTCTTTAACAATTCAGAGACCTTTGTAATATGCAGATTGTAAAGTGTGAAAACAGCAGTAGTTCATGGAGGAAACCTAGAATCAAGTCCTCCTTGAGAACTTGATTCTACATTGACTCAGAGGAAATTCTGTTTAGAGATAGAAGTTACTTTTGTTTAATCACTATCTTTTTAGTTCTGTTTTGAACTTTTTTGGAGTGCTAGGTACAAACCCAGGGACTTGTATGTATTCAGTAAGTATTATACCACTGAGTTCCATTCTCAAACTTCAGTTTGTGTGTGTGTGTGTGTGTGTGTGTGTGTGTGTGTGTGTGTGTGTGTCTTGAGGCTTGAACTAAGAGCCTGGTCACTGTCTCTGAGCTAGTACTCTACCACTTGAGCCATAGTAGCTCCATTTCTGGCTTTTTGGTGGTTAATTGAGATAACAGTGTCATGGATTTTCCTGCCTAAGCTGGTTTGGAACTGTGATCCTCAGATTTCAGCCTTCTCAATAGCTAGGGTTACATGTGTGAGCCACTGTCACCTTTTCAGCTTTTCAGTTATTTTTATCAATAGAAATAATGGACATTCCTCCTAGCCATCTCAGAGTTGATGTGTAGCTCTGTCTACTGTGATCGATTTTTTTTCCAAGTTTACCTTATTTTCAACCTGATTCTGCTCTAAATTGATGTAAATGATTTCTCCTTTGATTTCTTACTCTTAATTCTGGTTGGCTTGTCCCCTCACAAAAACTACTCGCTCTGTATAGAGGCCTAATCCCTTGCCTTGTATTACTCATGTGTATAGATAGATACTGATTTGAACCATAGCAAATGCTATTTTTATAGGATCAAAAATTTTCAAATATGATGATAAATATAACATGAGAACATTAGTAGTATTGTTTGTAAAAGCAGAAACAAATGACCTAAATGAGCCCCAACTATAATAGAAAAATTAGTTACAGGATGGTTCTACAGTGGAATTCTATAGAACAGGAAGAAAATAATCTTTTTCCCACATGTGTCAGCACTGATAAACTTCAAGGGCAAGCAAGTCACCAAAGAACACATTCCATGATTATACTTTTATGAGTTGCCAAAATAAGGTATTATTGAAAGTTGTAATCATGGAGAGGAAATTGATTTTTAAGGCAAAGGATTTTTTCCCAATATGTTTTGAAGTTTCATTCCCATTTTAAATGTTATTTTATTTTTTTAAAACAGTATACATCAAGAATGCAAGGAGAGCCTGTAGCCTGTGTGCTTCTATCTCATGCCTGTAATTCTAGCTACTCAAGAGGCTGAGATCTGAAGATTGAGATTCGAAGCCAGCCCAGATAAATTCCCAAGACTTGTATATCTAACCAGAAAAAATATCTGGAAGTAGAGGTGTGGCTCAAGTGATAGTGCACCAGCCTTGAGCAAAACCAAAAGTGAGAGCAGAAGACCCTGAGTTCAAGCCCTAGTACCAACAATGAAAGGAGGAGAAGGAAGAAGAGGAGGGGGTGATGGTGGCGATTTTATTGCGATAATGCATTTCAGTGTGCTTACACAAAGGGTTATTAAAGAGAAAATCAGAATACTTGTTACCTCCAATGGGTAATATTTCTTGTATTGGGTGGCTGATACATTGGTATATATTTATTTTTCTTTGTAACTGGCATATTTTCTACCTATTCACCACTCAGTATTAAGAAAAATAACATCAAAGGAGTTATACAAGCTCTGTAGTGGCAAAATATGAATTGGCATAGTCACTTTAGAAGGATATTGACAGTGTCTATCAAAATAAATAAATAAGGAAATAATAGACCCTTTCTTTCTATGTTGAATAAAGTCTAGATGGAAGGTCCTGCATAATGTCTCTGCTCACTTGGATCTTGAGAAACCAGCTCTGATTCAAGATAGCTTTGATTCCTCTCAGCCACTCTGAAGTCTCTGCCCACACACTCTGCTCAGTGTTGCTCCCTTGTGCCTCTGTGTACTCCACACCCACTAACCCAACAGTCCAGTCCTTCCCTCCCCCCTTCCGTCATATCTGCTGTGTCAGCTCCAAATCATAAAGTAATTTAGGTTCTAAGGTCGGTAACCAGACAATTTTTATTAGTTTTTTTCTGCCACAAAACTCTCAGTACTCTACTACTACACAATGAGAACTTGGAAAATGCTACAAAGATTATTTGCTCTCCCTCATCACCCTCTTCCCCACCCCACCCCCTAAAATGCAGGAAACTTTTTGCTATGTCAACAGCTTAGAAGGAATATTGTTCCACTGGAATGAGAGCCACCCACTCCTGATTTCAGAGATGAAATTTTGGAATGGTTATGTTAACTACATAGTAAGTGACATGAATGCACCCAAGTCACTGGAAAGTCCAGTCAAAAGTTTCCTCTGGAATGAAAATAATCAGAATTCTTACCAAAATGTACATATTCACTTCCTATTTCCTGTGGGGTTTTTGTTTTTGTTTTTGTTCTTGGTCTTGTTTCTTCAAGTTTTGGACCTTCTTGTTGTTCTTGTTGTTGTTCATTTGGCTGGGCTTAGTTTTTTTGAGACACAGCCTCAAGCTGTCGAGACCAAGGATGGCCTTCAATTTGCTGTCCTCTGGCATTCATCTCCCAAGTGCTAGGATTGTAGTATGCACTGTCAGCCACATCCAGCTTATTTCTGGGGTTCAGATGAGATATTACCAAGGGTTCTCATGCATGAAAACATACAGGTGTTCTTACTAAAACAATCTACCTGAATATTCCTTAATGTTATAAAATATTGTTCAAGTAGTATCATTCTCCTTGGAATGTTTAGAAGTTTTGACCCAGAATTTATGCTGTATGTCTGAAATAATGTTGGTTCACTTACAAATTATAAATGAAACAATAGTCATCAAAACTTTGAATTTAATTATTTTTACTATATTTTAGACCTAAACTTGATTGCTCCTAATCTTGTATGTGGTAAAGTTCAGATGACTTCACAATGCTTTATGGAAATTTACATAGAGTCACTGTTTTTGCTAAGACCTTATTTGTTCAAACTATTTTTTATTAGGTTCACATGCTTTCTCCAAATATTTGTTTTGTAAAATTAGTGTTCCATTGAATTGAATTGAATTCCAAATTGGTATTAGCAACTTTCCCTTGCTTTTTTTTTGTTTAGAATAATTCATATCAAGATAATTTTGTAGAAGGAAAACAAAAGAGTAGAATTTTTAGTCACAATGTCACCTTGTTTGAGCTGGTCAAGTGGCAAGCAGCTTATAAAAAAAATGTATTATCTAGTATAAAATGTTTTCATGTGTACTTTAGCATTTAGCCATGGAAGCCCAAATACTGGGATTCCAACTCACTACTTCAGTGATTTTACATGCTTATTTGAATCTTAACGATGATTAATTCCATTTTCTATTAAATTATATTTCATTTTGGAAAAATTTGATTAATGGACTTGAAAAATCATTTTTTGTTGGGAAAAATGGCATGGAAAATTAAACCCACTTTAAACATGTCTTCTGAAATGTACTATATAATCTACACCTAACCCAGTAAGTTAGCTTATTTCCTGTAATGTGGTCATTTGTAGGCCAATGAGGTTATTGTGACCTTTTCTACACTGACACATCACATACTCTGCTTTCTGAGCCTCAGGCTGATAATATGAGGGAATGAAGTGGATGTGAGGAACTGTGATGAACTACACAAACCTTGTCTACACAATTACAGCTGGTGCCAATGGCTCACACCTGTAATCCTAGCTACTCACAAGGCTGCTATCTGAGGATCATGGTTCCAAGCTAGCCAGGGCAAGAAAGCTCATAAGACTCTTATTACCAATTAACTACAAACAAACAAAAAAAAAAGATGAAAGGGCGTAGTGGCTCAAGTGGTAGACACTAGCCTTGAGCAAAAAAGCACAGGGACAGCACCCAGGACTGAGCTTAAGCCACAGGACATGCGTAAGAAATAAGAGAGAGGCGTGGGGGGTAGGGGGAGAGAGAAGAGAGGAAAGGAGGAGGGAGGAGGGAAGGGAGGAAGGAAGGAAGGGAGAAAGAAAGGGAGGAAGAAAGGGAAGAAGGGAGAGTAGGAGGGAGGGAGGGAAGGAAGAAAGGAAGACTACCTGAAGTTCTGGCAGGTTGCTATTCTGTGAAGGCAAAGGGTTTGCCAGATCTTCTCAATTATAAGACAATCCCAGACTTTCGTGTGAACTCTCTCATTTTCACATGATTTTATCTCCAGTGGCTCATGCCTATAACCCTAGCTACTCAGGAGGTTGAGATCTGAGGATCTCAATTTGAAGCCAGTCCAGGCAGAAAAGACTCATCTCCAATTAACTAGCAGAAAGCCAGAAGTGGAGGTGTGGCTCAAGTGGTAGAGGGCTAACTTTGAGTGAAATAGCCAAGTGAGAGTACAAAGCCCTGAGTGCAACCCCAGTACAGTTAGATACACACGCGTGCGTGTACACACACACACACACACAAAAATCAAAATGTAAAAAGTAAAAGTAAACAAAAACTAAAGAATTAAAATCAGTTTTAAGGACATGTATAAGCCACACTGAAAAGGTCTGTAGGCCTATTGACCTCTCTGCTTGTAGTGAAGATGAGGCCAGGATTGACAAAGCCTCTTGTATTTTTGACATTTCCTCTTTCCTTTTTCTAGGCTATGTGCTGTCTGTGCTTTGTCCGAACTCCTCCCAAGCTTGGTGCGAGATCACAAATGTGTCACAGCTGCTGGCTTCTCCTGTCCTCTACACAAACCTGAATTCCAGCATAACCAACTTGAACATTTCAGCCAATGGAGAAAGTAGATACAGCCTCTTTGTGGGCTTGATACTGGCTATAAGCGCCAGTATTTTCATTGGCTCCAGCTTCATATTGAAAAAGAAGGGCCTTTTGCAACTCGCCAACAAGGGTGTTACTAGAGCGGGTAAGAAACACACGAAATTAACTTATTCAAGTTCCTGGCTGAAAAATGAGCTTTCTGTGAGACCATCACCATGTTATAGTCATGATCAGTATCTCTCCATCTTCACCATTACGTCCTTGACTAAGCCAGCTATGTCTCCTATAGTCTCTGACCTGGCATGAAATGGCTCCGGTACCTCTCTGGCTTCTTCTTATGCTACCATCCCAGTCACCTACTTTTCTCTTAAGTTCTTTCCTACCTTGAGGTCTTTTCTCTTTGCTGGAACTCTTTTCCCTGCCTTTCATTCAGCTGAGACAGCCTTCTGATTTATACTTAAATTTTACCAACCTAGAAAGGCTTTCTATAACCATCCTGTCTGGGCAGTTCTCTTACTTCCTGTATCTCTCTGCTACTCTCTATCATCACACTAATGATTTCCTACCTTATTTATAGAATAATCTGTATTGTATGTGTATGGTTTTTCTCTTGTGAGCAGGTTGACATGTTTATTGATAGTGGGTATACAAGAACAGCACACAGCAGTAGCAGCAGCATGGGGCACAAGATAAATATTTGTTGAATCAATGACAAGAGGGTAATAGAATTGCACCATTATTTATAGTAACATTCAAGATGCTAAGTAAGCCCTGTTTAACTATCTTTCATTAGCTATGAATTCTCTATTCATTTTCATCATACGAAGTACATATATTTTTCTTAGATCCATATGTAAAGAAAAATGACTAAAAATTATACAAACAAGCTTCTGGAAAATACTATTGAGAGATTTGCACCACCCTAGAATATACCATATCACTCTATCCATTCAAACAATTTAGTACTGGCATTAAAAGTAGATAAAGTAATAAGAGATTATTAAAAACTTACAAGTGGACTCCAAAAACATGTAGAATTATATATGAGCTTTTAAATATATAATCCATCATATGCAATTTTCAATTAAAAGTATTAAGACAATTGGAAAAAATAGATTTTATACCATTCAGCAAAATAAACTACAGAAATTTGAGGGTTATACTTTAAACGAAATAAGCTTTTCAAAAACCTGACAGAACACCTTTCTAAGCATAAAGTTTAAGAAAAAATCTTTTTGGAGATACATATTCCTCTGTGAAAATGCCTTGGTGTAAACTAAATGTAAAATGGTATATTAAGGGACAATTAGGAAATACGTAATCAAAGTTAGTCATAATATATAAAGTGCAGCAAACTTAAAAAATTAGCATGCAAACAGAAAACTGTCAAAGTAGATAAACAAGAGACATAATTCTAGGCATCATGCCTATAATCCTAGCTACTCAGGAGGCTGAGACTGGAGGATTGCAGTTCGAAGCCAGCTTAGGCTTCCATCTCCAATGAACCAACAAGATGCCAGACTGAAGGCACAATACAAGTAGCAGACCACCAAGAGTGAATAAGAAAGCCAAGTGAATATGAGTTCAAAGCCTAATACTAGTATTAAAAAAAGAAGAAATGCACAAGCGCATAATTGCAAATGATAACGAAAGAACAAAAATGTGGATAGCAGGTAAACAAACAGGAGTAAATATTATTTTACTTATACCCCCCCAAACCTATTAACTATACAATAATATTGTATTCCAATATTGCAATGTGACTCCAATTTAGTCATTTGCAAATTTTGCAAAACAAATTTTAAATAAACATAGCTACCTACTTTGTAAAATAAGCTTTATAACTTATATAAACAAGATGGTTTAGGTTAAAGAATCTAGAACAAGTTTGGAAATTTCACTATATTAAAAATAAAAGAAACTTCCATCTTCTACACCTAAGAACAACTCTTTTCTATCAAAGTGTGCAGCTTAAAAATTCTTGCTTTGGAGCTGGGTGGTGGCGGCTTACACCTATAATCCTAGCTACTCAGGAAGCTGAGATCTGAGGATCCAGTTCAAAGCCAGCCCAGGCAGGAAAGTCTGTGAGAGTTTTATCTCCGATAAACCACCAGAAAACCAGAAGTGGCGCTGTGGCTCAAGTGGTAGAGGGCTCGCCTTGAGCTGAAGAGCTCTGGGACAGTGCCCAGACCCAGAGTTCAGGCCCAGACTGACAAAGAAAAAAAAAAAAAAACCTGCTTTGGCCTGGTGGCTTGGCTCTTGTCAGGGAAAAAGGAACAGCTTTGGAATAAGAAAGGATTTTTGAAATGTAAGGTTTTGTCTTAAATGGGTTTCTTTTCAAGATGGAATTATGACATAGCCCAGACTGTTCAAAGAATAGCAGAGGATATGGGTATATTTTGAGATTACTTGTACCCTATTCAAATGAGCCAATCACAAGAAGATTATAACCTGAGCTCAACCAATCTGAGCAGAGGGGCAGGGCCTCTGCATTAGGGATCAATAGGGGAGCAGCCTGCCTGATCTATGTGCTTGCTTGCCAGAGTTTTGGCTGATGGCATACCATATTCTCCAAAAGTAAATTTTGCCTTGCTGAGACAATTCTTTATTTTTGTATCTATCATTGTGACTCCTATGGTTCTTGGAGAACCTACTCATAACATACAGCACACATAACACAAGGATTTCAGGTCACAGATTGAGATGGTAGGAGAAGTGACTGAATGACTAGAAAAGCTTTCGTTCTTTTCAGTAGACAGCACATTTCACTTGACTAATCCAAACTCTCAGAAAAAGTCTTGGTTCAACTGGCATCTTCCCTTAGAAGTCTGCTAAGTGCTAGTGTATTTTCTAAGTTATGGTTTTCTGTTTTTAATTTGAATCATGACTAAAATGAAATGTTGAGTTGATAATATTCAATGTCCACACATCTGACTGATTTGAATGCAATGAACCTGATGACTAACAAATGAAGAAGAAGGAGGAGGAAGAGGAAGAAAGAAGAAACCTAATAGGACGCCTTAAAAGATCTCTGAAAATGACCAAGTAAATAAATTCAAAGACTACGATTTACCAACTTGATCTTACACTTGATCTCTGCCTTTTCAAACCATGATTTAATGCCTCTCCTACATGTCAATTCTTTTTCCCTTCTGTGATTTAGAATTTAATTTTTTTGGTGTTTTTCCAGGACAAGGTGGACATTCTTACCTCAAGGAATGGCTTTGGTGGGCCGGACTACTGTCCAGTAAGTTTACTACTAGAATCATGCTCATTTATAAAGTGTTAAGTGTATTACATAGATTTTTTCCATTAGTCATTTTGTTTCTAGCAAAAGAAAAATCAAAGCTTGACTTGAAACTAGTGAACATGATAGGAAAGTATATTAGGAAAACCTGGTATGAGAATAACAATGATTTTTACCCTGGCACAAGTTTTTAGTGAACTTGGAACAAAAGTCCCTTCTGAACAAGGACTTGGAACAAAAGTCCCTTCTGAAACCCAGTCTACAAGCAGTCCCTATCTGAAGGTGACAGGGAGATTTACTAGCTTGAGTGGATAACGTTAATGATCTGGTTTAGAACTATCTTGTTGATCCACCTTAGGCTGGAATGAAGCCTATTTTTAATCCTTAGGTAGAATACTGAAAAAAAAAATCCTGTGGCATTTCATGGCTTTGGTGGACCACATAGACAGGTAGGATGTTTAATTACAATGTTTTCCATGAGAAAAAAATGTATCTTCTTCCATTTTCAGTTTCCTCTACATTTCTTCTTAGTTCATGGTAGCTGCTTTCTATCACCTCACCTGTAATACTTACATCCATAGTTTATTTTTCATTCTTGTGTGTGGGTACTCCATACACTGCTGTTCTTTCAATATTGTTCTGCAATTCAAAGGGAAAAGTTGATATTTGCAACATTGTATTTTATCACTAACTTATTCTGTATTCCATTGCAAAAGTATTGAAGGAAAAAAATGAGATTATTGGCAACCGTGAATATAGAACAATTAACCCTTTTGAAATGGTTTGGGGGAGGGTGATAGGAGAAAGATTGATTTGAATATATTGTAAATGTGTAATGTAACCATATGAAATAATTTTCTTAAAAACTGAGGGAAGCTGGGCATTGGTGGCTCTAAACCTGTAATCTAACTACTCAGGAGGCTGAGGATCACGGTTCAAAGCCAGCCTGGGCAGGAAAGTCTTATCTCCAAGTAACCACCAGAAAACTGGATGTGGTGCTATGGCTCCAAGTAGTAGAGTGCTAGCCTTGAGCGGAAAAAAACTCAGGGACACTGCTCAAACCCCACAAGCAACAAAAAAATATAAATTAAAAACTGAGAGAAATATTTTCCTTCTGTATCTTCACAGCTCATACTTTGAGTCTGTGACTATCCTAGACACATGGTTCCTTAGGGTTGGGTATATTTGCCATATCAGGACCAAACATGGCTAAATGAAAAGATTTTCTGGCTGTGGACTGTGGAAAAAATGAGGAGAAGATGAAGGCTGGCCCTGCTCTCCCTCTCCAAAGGCTCACTTTGCAAAATCTCTCTTAAAGTGCTCCTAAGAGCTATGGATGCCCTTCCTAAATGTTCCTGTGATGTCCACAGGAAAGGCAGTTTATCTGCTTCCTTCCCTCCTCTAAGCCTTCTTAAATCCCAAGCATGACACCCTCAAAGATAGGGCGTCACACATTGTAGGTTTTTACCACGGATCACTTCCTTCTGTAGTCCAAGTCTTAAAACCTCCCTGTGTGTTCCAAAAGGAAGTCATGTGTTTCAGTATTTCCGAGATCCTGTGGAAGGAAGAAACTAACCTTTTCCTGATAAGTAGAAGGTGGGATTTAAATGAACAATGAGTAAAAATAATTTAAATCTGTGTAGGCCTTTCAGGTTGGCTTTATTTGATTTTATTGTTTTGGTTTTGGTGTGTGTGTGTGTGTGTGTACACACGTGTACATGTACACGTGCCAATCCTGGGGCCTTAGATCTCAGCCTTCAGAGTAGCTACAATTATAGATGTGAATGGCTGGCCACTACTTTTCAGTTTTCAATGGACTATTCCCATTATAAAGTTTAAAGGACTCTCCTTAAGGTTCCAGAAAGACATCCGAGTGATGTCTTGCACCATCAGAATGAAAATATAAGGAGAATATTTTATGCCTAATCTTTTTCTTGAAATCAGATCCTGTGCTCTCACTTAGCTTTTTTGCCCAAGGCTGGCACTCTACCACTGGAGCCATAGCTCCATGTTCAGCTTTTGGATGATTAATCGGAAATAAGTGTCTCTCCAACACATCTTTTTGGGCAGACCTCTAGCCAGGATGCTCAGACCTCAGCTTCCCGAATAGATAAGATTACAGGTATGAACCCACTGGTGCCCAGTTGCCATTTTATTCTTGGCATGTGAAAAAGCTCATACCAGTCTTGGAGAAAAGCGTACTCTAGCTATTTCATCTGGTGCCAAACATATGGCACTTTAGTCATGAAGTTAGTGTTTTCTTGAAACTCTGCCTACAAAGATTAAACAATACAAACAACATAAGTTATTCAAAGGAAGCTTAATATTGTGAGTGAACTTCCATGGTTCTTTTTATGAAAGCAGTCTCCTAATTGTTCTGTACATTGAGATTTTTTATGATATTACACTAATGCAGAATATTCCTATAGATAGAAGAGGAAGGGTAGCAAAGTAGCCACAGAAAAGAAAAAAGAGAAAGCATGTTAATGTTCTTTTATCTCTCCACAATAAAGATTTGCTGGGCATAATGGGGTAGCATAAAATACTGCATTCTTCGGGCCAGTGCCCTGTTGGGATCTGAGAGAATAATTTGGTTCCTATTCAAGATCCCAGCTCCTGGAGAGTTATTTTTTTCCCTCCCTCTAGAGATTATTTGTATCATACCCTGGAACTCTAGAGTTCCACAGATAAGAACTTGATCTTGGAACTTGATCTTCTTCATTGCTGAGATTCTGTTACCTACTTGTAGATTACCTGTAGTACAGAGATGCTTGATTACTTGGCCCTGAATTTCTGACTATTCCTCCCCGAGATCTCTTCCAAGTCTTCTAATTTTCCACATTGCTCTGTTGTGGTAGTTATTGTTGGTGGTGGTAATAGTTGTGTTAATTTGTACTCCAAAGCTAGCTCTGCTAGATCTCATCAGATATGTTTTCAGTGTGAAAGTAATTAAAATCTTCATTGAAAGTCATTTAAAATGTGTATTGCTCAGTCACCATTAGTTGGGTTTATACCACCAGATACTTACATCTTATCTTCATCCTTTAATACCAATCTTTTCCCACCTTCCATAAGAAAAAAAAAACTAGTTAAATCATTCCTTTTAGCTATTTATTTGTGCCTTTAAGATAAAAATCCATTGCTTTGCAAGAGTCATTTGTTTTTCTCTTCTGGGAAATAAGTCCATCCTCTACATGAATGTTTCTGCTTGCTTTGTAGTGGGAGCAGGAGAGGCTGCAAACTTTGCAGCTTATGCATTTGCCCCTGCCACCTTGGTCACCCCTCTGGGGGCCCTGAGTGTTCTCATAAGGTAAGTAAACAACAGGAGCTTGGCTTCTGTGGGTATTTTAATACTGTAGTACACTTCAGCCATAGAAATGTACACTAAATATATATATCTCATAACAAAAATCTTCTCCTGTGCGGCTCTCAATGCACACAAGACCCAAAATAATATGTGGGATCCCTGAGAATCTTTGGATAGGTTTCTGGACAGGTTGCTGAAACCTAACTTCTTGATTAATAAAATGAGGTTAAAAAGTTTATTTCTTAGACTGAGAGTATGTCCATGACAGACCTATCATGTGCAAAACCCTGGGTTTGATATGACACCACCAAGAAAAGAAAAGAAAAAAGAGAAGGGAAGGGAAGGGAGGAAGGAGGGAGGGAAGGAAGGGAAGTGGGAAGGAGGGAAAGGAGGAATGGGCACTAGTGGATCATACTTGCAATCCCAGCTACTCAAGAATCTGCAAAGCGAAAGTCCATGAGACTTACCTCAAATTAATTAGCAAAAGCCAGAAGTAGAGATGTGGCTCATGTGGTAGAGCATCAGCCAGCCTTCAGCAACAAGCTAAGGCATAGCATCCAGGCTGAGTTCAAGCCCCAGTAACAGGAAAGGAGAGGAGAGGAGAGGGGAGGGGAGGAGAGGGGAAGAGGGGGGGAGGGAGGGAGGGAGGGAAAAAGAAAGAGAAAAAGAAGGGGAACAAGGAAGGAAGGAGGGAGGGAAGAAAAGAGGGAGGGAGGAAGGGAAGGAAGAAAAGAAAGAAGGGAAGGAAGGAAAGAAGGGAAGGAAAGAAAAAAGAGATCGGTCATAAAAGTTAATTGAGAAGACTGCAAAAGTAATAATAGAAATAGGAAATCAATTATCAAATTATTATTTAGAAAAAACTGGCAGAATGAATCTGGGCTTCCTGATAACAAAGTAATTGTATGTTACCTTTGTGATAATTAAGTGAAGCCTAGAAGACTTTTGTTTCGGTTTTTGTTTTTTACACCTGTCAAAGTCCTTTATAATTATTTCTGTTGTTAGAGTTGTTAATGACTATAGTTATCAGAAGATTTCAAAAAGCACAGTGCTAGTATTAAATTTCAACTCTCATTACCATTCTCACATTGTCTGCAAGATTCTTGTGTTTGGAGACCCTATCATTTCTTTTATCTTCAAAATAGGAACAATTTTCTTGTTGTATAGGCTGTGGATATGTTTGTCTATAATATGATCCCTATGAATGTGTTAGGTAACTGTTGAGCTTAGCTACCATTTTGCTGTCCTTTCTGCTTCCATGCATTAATCCGTATTTAGGAGAGAGTTTATGATTGTGCCTACCCACTCTCCTTGCCTTCTTTATAGAATTATTGTGAGAATTAAGTGAGTTAATACACAGAAAGCTTACAATTCTTAAGATACTCACCAGTGAAGTGAAGGCAGTTTGTCACTGCGGCTACAGTCTCTTCAGTGGCCACAGGAGGGCCGCTCTAGGGAAGCCTTGGGGGAGAAATTGACATCATTAATTGGAATTGCAGGGCATCCGAAGAAGGGGAACATGAACAAATGCCACAAGTGGAAAATTCCACACCTGACTTCATATGAAAGGTTGAATTAGCCACAGGCACACCAAAACTATTGTATCAAATTACCCTCAGGCTACTCATGTAAAGATTATACAAAATGTAACTTTTGTGTTTGAAGTTGGGTGTCCTCCCCAAGAGATCTTCTTATATAGATGCAAATATTCAAAAATCTGGGCAAGGGCTGGGAAGGTGGCTTAGTGGTAGAGTGCTTGCCTTGCCCTGGGTTCGATTCCTCAGCACCACATAAGCAGAAAAAGCCAGAAGTGGTGTTGTGGCTCAAGTGGTAGAGCACTAGCCTTGAGCTGACGAGCTGAGAGACAGTGCCCAGGCCCAGAGTTCAGGCCCCACAACTGATCAAAAAAAAAAATCTGGAGGGAAAATTCTTCAATCCGAACCTCTTCTGGACCCAATTATTTCTCTTAAGGGATTCTCTCTCTTTATTGTGCTAGGAAGATATAAAGGCTCTTTTATTTTGCTTGACTTTGCAAGCAAGAGAAGATGGAGTAAATGAAAATGAATTGCACAAGAGCACCCAGAAAGCACAGGAGATAACAGGATGATAGATCTTCAGATATAACATAACAGCAATGAACCAGAGTTGGTTGGCCACTTCTAAGCCTAAAGCTAACTGCTTTTTCAGTGTCATGTAGCATATTCAGGTCAGCTCATTGGTATGCACCCCAGCATGACTTCTCAGCTGCCACCGAATTAAAAGGCAATTAAGCCCTGGTGATTTAATTTTCTTCTTTCCCAACAGTGCAATATTGTCTTCCTATTTTTTAAATGAGCACTTGAACATTCATGGCAAAATTGGCTGCATATTATGTATACTGGGGTCAACTGTGATGGTTATTCATGCCCCACAAGAAGAGGAAGTCACTTCTTTGCATGAAATGGAAATAAAGTTGAGAGACCCAGGTCTGTGATTCAGTCTAAAGAAATACTGAGATTCTGCTCTTCTTTCTCACCTCATCAAATAATATCTCTGTTTTATTTGTTGTTGCTTTAAGACTTACTATGTAGCCCAAACTAACCTTGGACTTGCAATCTTCCTCCTCAGCCTTCTGATCACTGGGAACACAGATATATATTACCACAGCTGACATCAAATAATTTTTTTGTTGTTGTGGTCAATCCTGGGGCTAGACATTGTCCCTGAGCTTTTTGCTCAAGGCTTGTAGCGCCACTTCCTGTTTTCTGGTGGTTAATTGGAGATAAGAGTGTCACAGACTTTCCTGCCAGGACTGCGATCATCCTCTTTTGGCTCCTGAGTAGCTAGGGTTATAGGCATGAGCTACCAGCACCTGATAGTTAATGATGATTTAATGGTATCTTACAAGGATTATGAGACACAATAAGTTTTCTTATTATTATAAGTCTTCTGAAAAAGTGACAGTTTTTGTGTTTACTCTTCTCCCACCAAACAATGGGAGTTAAAAATAGAACTAGTCAATGCCAAAGACTTACACTCAAATTCAAATTCTTGTTATTTGCTCTCTAAATAGTTATTGGCAAGATTTAAATCAGATGTTTGTGAATATTCTCTATATGATAATAATTACACAACAGGATGTTGCTGTTTTTACCTTAATATTACTTCTGTCTCTAAAATAGCTAGCTTTTAAATTCATGACTAACAAGATTTTAGAAAACTGTTGTCCTGTTAGCGTTTTCTCAATTCTAATTCTGTTCTCTTCCTAATAGGATTTATTTCCTTTGCTGTGATCATAACCTTGATCTCTTTGGTGCTGATTTTGATTGTGGCTCCCAAGAAAGGACAGACCAATATACTGGTCTACATTTCAATCTGTTCTTTGATTGGAGCATTTTCAGTTTCTTCTGTCAAGGGCCTGGGAATCGCCATTAAGGAACTGCTAGAATGGAAGCCAGTTTACAAGAATCCCATGGTCTTCGTTTTGCTGGCAGTGCTTGTGCTTTCAGTATCTACACAGATTAACTATCTCAACAAAGCACTGGACACTTTTAACACATCTCTTGTGACTCCCATTTATTATGTGTTCTTCACATCCACGGTAGTGACTTGCTCCGCCATCTTGTTCCAGGAATGGTATGGCATGAAAACTGGAGATATTATCGGGACCTTGAGTGGGTTCCTCACCATTATCAATGGCATCTTCCTTCTCCATGCATTTAAAAATACTGACATTACGTGGAATGAGCTGACATCCACTGCCAAGAAAGACATTGTTTCTCCAAATGGCAATGAGAATAATTATGTTTTACTAGAGAACATAGACTGTCCAACCACAGGATATGATGATGACATTACCTTGTTTAGCAGGACAGATGATCAAAGTCCGTATAAATCCTGATACTTGGAGAGAAGAAAGACTTACTCTTGGAAGGACTACTGGGAAAGCTACTGTTTATAACATGTCTATAAATACTTCACATGTGAGGCTGAAGAAAGAAGGTTTTGTTTGACCCTTAACTTTGAAACTCAAGTTTTGATATTCCTCCAAAAGACTTCTGCAGCTTTTCATTCTCCAACGTTTGAAACATTCCTTAAATAGAAAAGCATTCAACAGTCATATATGTTTCAGAATAATCTTGTCTTCTAGCCACAAATGACCTGGCTCTGCCTGTGATCTCATTTCTTTGTTTGCTTTTTTTTTAGGTTGGTGGTAACTCAATAGATCAAGTTAGCTGTGTTCTGGTAGGCAGAGTGTCAGTCACCATCATCTAATAAGTCATAATGTCCCAAGAGGTGAGAAGATACTCGTGCTTTGTCCTCCCTTTTACAACTTCATTCTTCTTAAACTAGATAATGGGTAGGTGAATTGGTAAAGAAAAACACAGGACTGCTTTGGGAAACCTACTCCTAGTGGTCATGAATGCCCAAGATATACCACTGATAATGATCTTAGGAATGTAATTTTTTTATATATCAGAGGCCTTTATCACTAATTAAACAGAGAAGAATGGAAGAAGGAGAAAAAATATTTTACACCACAAGTAAAGAAAACACATTTTTTCCTTGTCCTCCAAATCCAAACTCTCACAAATTACTGTGTCCACATATTCCTTTAAACACAGGCCTGGGTGATGTAAAACAAGGACCATCTGTAGAACTCAGTTCTGAGTTACTCTCATTTACTTTGCTCCTTCCTTTTATTTTTATCCTAGAGGTGATTTCTGACATAGAGCTATTTCATCAGAAAACCACCATATCATATCAGGAGGCTAAAGTACTTCAGCATTTCTCAGGTGTTTTATTCCTAATGAGTGAGTTTTCTAAGACTATGTGGAAGCAACTACAAAAAAAAACCTGAATAAATCTCTTTTGAAAATTTGGTATTTCCTCATCCTTAGTAAGGAAATTATAATCAGGTACTGATTTAAAAATAGGTAAGTAGCAGTTTGCTTTTTCAGTTCAATTCATCCCAGTCATATTTTCCATACAACTTACTGATGAGTGTCTCTAGCCAGTGAACTTTCAGGGGAAACAAAATGTTGAGATCTCCAAGGCTACAATAGGAAATAGCTTTTGCTCATTAAAATGTTTATTTATCCTTTCTGTCTCATTCTAGATGGTGGCAGGAATTGCACTTTAGGTGGTTTACTGTGTATGAGCAGATTCCCTCCCACTTACTTATGTTTGTGGAAGAGAAATTAGCTGTCTTATATTTAAACTTACTTTTCAAAATAAAAATTCTAACAAAACATATTTTGTTAAAAACGGTATTCTTAAATTAAAATGTTTTAAGGAAAACTTTAGGTGGACTCAATTATGTTCTGCTTTAACATCAAATATTCTTCTTCTTCTTTTTTTTTTTTTTTAGAGGTTGTCTGTTGTTGTTTTGTGCCTGTCCTGGGGCTTGAACTCAGGGCCTTGGCATTGTCCCTTAGCTTCTTTGCTTAAGGCTAGTGTTCCACCATGTGATCTACTTCTGGCTTTGTGGTGGTTAATTGGAGATGAGGGTTTTTGTTTTATCTCCTTTTGTTTTCTGTTTTGTTTTTGTTTGGAGACCAGCTTAAGCCTACCCAGAGTAATAATATAAACTGTTACTTAGTAAACTGAACTTTAGCATTTCTAATTCTATTGAACCACAAATGATAGTCACAACGGATGGTAATCTGAGATGAAGTGACCATCTTAGAGTTTTCAGCAGAGTTTAGTGCTGAGCGTAGTTCAGTGCACTGTTTTTGAAAACTGATAACCCATGATGGTTGCATGGGTTGATACCTTAGGTGAAATACACCTTCCCTAGCCAATTGCTGATTATTTGTCTATCAGATCTATAAGCAACAAACTCTAGTTTGTAGGAAAAGTGTCTTCTGGAAAGAGTGTGTTCTAAAATTGTAAAAATTATTTTAACATTTTTCTTTTTAGTTTTAACAATCCCATTGGTTCTCCCAGAACACCTCCTTGGTGAAGAAATTAATGACATTTTCCTTGACATCTAACCTGAAGCGGTATGGGTTCTCTCTCTAGTGAATTTAGGCTTCAGACATTTATTAATGGTCATCTGTTATTTGACACCTGAAATGTCATGTTATCCCCTTGATGCTTTAGGTCATAGGTTTCTAGAACACAAGGATCAGTGTGTTTGGGGTTGGAAAATTAGTTGGTGTTGACAGGAGGAAGACTGAGAAAAACTTAATGTTGTGAAACAGTGAACTATTTGGAAAGATCTGTGTAAAAACTGCTGTAAGCCTAGGCATTAAAAATGTCAAAATGTTATTGGAAATCTAATGTCAAAAATGAATTTTTCCCAAATCCAAAGATACTCTCTAAGGAAGAGTGCAATGCTGGACTCATGTATTTGCATTGTGGTAGTCTAAGCTGGAGAGCTCATACATATTTGCATTTTAACATACATACTTTATTGGTCATCTCACGCATAACTTAGGACTTATTTTGTGAATATATATATAGGTACATGCAGCATTAAGGCCACTAGCTGTGCTAGCACAGAACAAATTGAAATTTTCTCCAAATTCTGATACTTTTTTTTTTATTTATAATTTTGCTGTGTGTGTGTGTGTGTGCACAGGGGGTTTAATCTCAGGGCCTTGCACTTGCTAGGATGGTGCTATACTGCTTAGTTAGGACTCCAACCCTGATTTTTGTTGATTATTTTTAGGATAGGGTCTTGCTCTCTGTGGGAGCACAAGCTTAAGCTAAGCTCTGCCTTCTTTTAGGCTTCCTAATGTCTCTGGGATCACAGGCTTGTGCCATCACAGGGCCTGGACACTGTCCCTCAGCCCTTCAGCTCAAGGCTAGCACTTTACCACTTGAGCCACAGCACCACTTCCAGCTTTTGCTGCTTATGTGGTGCTGAAAATCGAACCCATTCCCCTCAGTAGAGAGGGAAGTGTCATGGACTTTTTATCCTCTCAATCTCAGCCTCCCATGTAGTAGAGGATGATTCAGGTGTGTGCCACTGTGCTCAGATATGAGTTGAAAAAGAATCTCTCAAACTTTTCTGCCTGGGCTGGCCACAACCATGACCCTCATATTCTTGCCTCTAAAGTCCAGCCAAGTTTATTTTTAATTCAAGTTACAGTATGTTCATAAAGCCCTTTAGATTTAGAAATGTGAAATTAAATTAACATTTACTTTCAAAACTATTGGGTCCAATCCATGGGAAGCCCCTGGCATCATACCTTATAGATAATGAGTACTTAATTATTAGTCTTATTATTTAAGACATACGGATACTGAGTACCATTTTGTATAAATCCCTCATCTTTTCTATTTTATTCCATGAGCTAAATACTAACTTTAAACAATGCTAATGAATGTGAATTCTATCATTATGCTATCTTGACATCAATAAAAAATTACTGCACCAAAAAAATCTTCCTTAATAAAACCACAAAACTGAACTATAAATGCTATTCTTTCTTAATAAAACCAACAAAACTGAACTATAAATACTATTTTCACCTTTCCAAAACTTTGTAAACAATAATTTGTATAAGTATATGTTAAATGTTCTCAAATATTTTGAATAAACTATGTTCATAAAGAATTTATATTTTTTAAATGTTTATAAACACTGTTCATTTTAGAAAGTTTACAGTTTTTAAATGCTTCTGTATATTTTTCATTTGCAATAAAATATGGTTTAATTATGTTCTTTGAAGTTTAGTTTATAGCTGGTAAAATAGTGGCAAAAATTATCTTTCTGTTTTGAGATTTTAAAGTTCTGGGTTTTTTTTTTTTTAAATAAATCCTCACTGGTTAGTTTTTCACTTCAAACTGAGTTTTGTTCCTAGAAGCCTCTCCCCCATCTTCAATAGAATAACAGATTTGACACCTGAACAAAAGAAATTGTCTCCAGTAATTTTACTGAACAAGACAGAGGCTTAAGTTTATATAATGAAATCTCCATTTAATAACTCTTTTTAAAAATTCACAATTAGATGCTCCCTGCTTATAGTAACATTGGATTAGCTAAAAAGTAGCCATATCTTTCTACATAAAGCAGGACTAAAAAGTTTACTTTTGTGGATTTTTGTTGTTATTTTGTGTTAGTCCTGGGGCTTGAACTCAGGATCTGGACATTGTCCCTGAAGGTTTTTGCTAAAAACTAGTGCTCTACCAATTGAGCCACAGCTCTCCGTCTGTCCTTTCAGTAGTTAATAGGAGATAAGAGTCTCACAAACTTTCCTGCCCTGGCTGGCTTGGAACTGCAATCCTTAGATCTCAGCCTTCTGAGAAGCTAGGATTACAAGCTTTAGCTTCAAGTGCACAGCCTACTTTCCTTCTTATATTTCTTATCCAAATTATATACATAAGGGACCTAACCAGGAAATCAAAAGAAGTTATTACAAGGAGGTTCATTCTGCAAGTCATCAGGATGGCTGAGGGAGCTGGTTCTAGGACCCTTATGAGTGGCCAAATCATTTATACAAAATGACATAGAATTTGCATAGAACCTGTATATGTCCTCCAATGCACTTCTGTAAACTCCTATGTATTTCAAAGCATCTCTAGATGATCTGTAATACCAACTACAGTGTACATGTTGTTTTCCCTTTTCTGGATGGAACTCTGAACAGCTTACTCCTTCAGTTGTTTCTACTTTGTGGAAATGAATTGTTGGGGGTGCAAAAGACAACTTTCTTACCACTATCCCATACCCTTTATGTCCCCCATTTTATGAAAGGAAGCAAATATGTTTGTAATTCACAGACTTAACTTAGCATCCAAATAAGGTTCAATATTTAAGCTTCTGAATACCTCAACGTCTCTGTCCACAGAATGGAGAACATGCGAGGAGGCCTGGTGAGCCCTGCTACACACTCAGCAGTACCTCCACAGCACAGTCACAGCCAACTACAGTCATCTGCAGCAGTCCACAGCTGTGTAGAACAGGCAAGCCAACTCCTTGGAGATGGCTTAAAGGAAGCCATTAAGAGGTATGTTTAGGGTATGATGAATCTGAAATTTTGCTTTAACAAATGAAAACTTTTTTTGTTGATCATGAGGCTTGAACTCTGGGCCTGGGCACTGTCCCTGAGCTCTATCAGCTCAAGGCGAGCACTCTACCACTTGAGCCACAGTGCCACTTCCGGTTTTCTGGTGGTTCATTGGAGATAAGAGTCTCATGGACTTTCCTGCCCAGGCTGGCTTTGAACCATGATCCTCAGATTTCAGCCTCCTGGGTGCCTAGGATTACGGGTGTGTACCACCAGTGCCTGGCTATGAAAATATTTTTGGTTAAAAATAACCCAGCACTTTCTTTTTCTTTCTTTCTTTCTTTTTTTTGGTCGCAGGGCCTGAACTCTGGGCCTGGACACTGTCCCTCAGCTCTTCAGCTCAAGGCTAGCGCTCTACCACTTGAGCCATAGCGCCACTTCCAGCTTTTTCTGCTTATGTGGTGCTGAGGAATCGAACCCAGGGCCTCATGCATGCAAGTTAAGCACTCTACCACCTTCCCAGCCCAACCCAACATTTTTTTTGTAAGCATTGACTAAACTATCTTTTTCCCTTCAATTCTAGTTCATGAAAACTCTTTCTCCTTGAGGGAAAAAACAAATCACTCCATACATGCTAGCAACATAAGAGAAAGCTTTGACATTGTGGCATTTTAGATTCTGTAGAAAGGGGACCCCCCAGATCAACAGACCAAGCTCTTCCCAGAAGCCATTACCCCACCTCCAGCCCAAGACCTTGAGAGCGTGTCCACTGGTCTAAGGTGTTTTTCTAGCTCTCAGGTAACAACTCTCACACTAACTTTCTCCACATTCACCAGGCCACAGTAAGGTCGGCCTCATATCCAGCCAGGTGTAGGCCTCAACACCGCTTGACTAGGCAAGATGGGTGGTGGAGGTGAGGATTTCCTGCCAGGGTCTGTCTGCCGTGATCCAGCCAATAACTTCCAGGTCCAGCCAGGAAGTCGTAGGCAGCTCAACATGACCCAAAAGCTGTGAACTGCTTTTATTATGCCTTCTACAAGGGCCTGACGAATCATGAAGGAAATCCTAGATCACCTTTACAAAGGCTTTGGGTCATGATATATGGCTCCTCCCTGTGCCAATTGTGCCCATCCAACACAGAGGAAGTAACTCAAGGGCAACACTCCACTTAAGTCCAATAAAACATTGTTTCCCTACACCGGGAATGGGCAGGTCACCCCGCCTGCTCAGAAGGGCTGCCTTTCAATTCCCTTTTGCCTTTGTTTTCACTACTAAAATTTCATTGTATTACCAAAAGAATTTGAAATTAAATGGTATTTCAGTAAAAGAGATGGCTGTTCCTTAACCGTGCAATTATAATGGTAGGGTCTACTAAGACTTGGTAGGAGCCAGCAAAATAAATTACTAGGGGCTGAAGGCAACTGT